AACATAAACCTTCAACTCCAACATTTCAGAAGGTGCTCCAGCTTCTATTATGCAGATTATGCTCTCCAAACTTCCTGTTGAAATCACAGTGCTCAGAAAAATGCAAAAACTCATTCAGTCAGAAAGACGAGCAGGTTTCCATCAGAAAGATGGAACCCTGGCTTCATAGGTCAAGTGGTGCAAATACCCACTCAGGAAACTACATTTCTAAGTTACTGAATGAAAACCATAAGCAATACTAGAAGTACCAACAGAAATCTTGGAATATGGAATACTGTGGAATGGAATATTGTGTCCAGTTCTGGGACCCTCAGTTCAAGAAGGACAGGAAATTGCTTGAAAGAGTCCAGCGCAGAGCCACAAGGATGATCAAGGGAGTGGAGCTCCCTTATGAGGAGCGGCTGAGGGAGCTGGGTCTCTTTAGCTTGGAAAAGAGGAGACTGAGGGGTGACCTCATTAATGTTTATAAATTTGTAAAGGGCGAGTGTCAGGAAGAAGGAGCCAGGCTCTTCTCTCTGATGTCCAATGACAGGACAAGGGACAATGGGAGCAAGCTGGAGCTTAGGAGGTTCAATTTGAACATGAGGAAAAACTTTTTTACTGTGAGGGTGACAGAGCACTGGAACAGGCTGCCCAGAGAGTTTGTGGAGTCTCCTTCTCTGGAGACATTCAAGGCCAACCTGGATGCGTTCCTGTGTGACCTAGTCTAGGTGATCCTGCTCTGGCAAGGGGGTTGGACTGGATGATCTTTTGAGGTCCCTTCCAACTCCTAACATTCTGTGATTTTGTGATTCTGTGTAATCCATGACTTCTCAACTCCTGGTAGGTTTCTCACAGTTTAATTCACTGTATAATGCAACAGATGATGGGAACATGTTTGAGAGAAAATTTTGTGTACTTGCTAGTACATACAGTACTGTATACTTCATTTCATGTAAACATGCAAATCTAAGATCAAAACTAAACCCATGGTTTGTTTTCCTTACTACCTCAAACTGGAAAAAAACTTACAGTAAACTATAATGCTTATAGAATTATTATACAAAAAACTTTTGTTTATTTCTTTGCAGTTTTTAGTGGGATAGAGTTAATTTTCTTCATAGTAGCTAGTATGGGGCTATGTTTTGAATTTGTGATTAAAACAGTGTTGATAGCACAGGAGTGTTTACTTACTGCTAAGTAGGGCTTACACAGAGTCAAGGCCTTTTCTGCCTCTCACACGAACCTACCAGTGAGTAGGCTGGGGGTGTGTGAAGCCCCTAATGTTTATTTGCCTCAAACATTCATTGTGAAAAGACATTAAGCAGAGACAGATGTTGCCAACAAGGGAATGTGAACTGATAAGCTATGCAAGCAGAAGACCTTGAAAAGCAGATAAGGTTGGGCATGGGAAGGGAGAGGGTTGGAACAGCCTTCTCGCAAGATCTATCCCACTCTTCAATAACTGTGAAATGGCCTATTGCTTCATTATTGGCCAAATGCATATAACGGGTGACACCCGTGAAAACGAAAATTAGGATTACAGAGTACATGTGTCGCATGTAAAGGTGTGTCTGTGTTTTACAATCACATGTAAAGGTGTGCCCTTCCTGTGTCATTGATTGACAAGGCAACACAGATGTGGAAGCGTAAAAGACACCTTCAACAGGGGTCAAGTGGGCCCCTCAGTTCAAGAAGGACAGGGAACTGCTGGAGAGTGTCCAGCGTAGGGCTACAAAGATGATCAAGGGAGTGGAGCATCTCCCTTATGAGGAGCGGCTGAGGGAGCTGGGGCTCTTTAGTTTGCAGAAGAGGAGACTGAGGGGAGACCTCATTCATGTTTATAAATATTTAAAGGGTGAGTGTCACGAGGATGGAGCCAGGCTCTTCTCGGTGACAAACAATGATAGGACAAGAGGTAATGGGCACAAGCTGGAACACAGGAGGTTCCACTTAAATTTGAGAAGAAACTTCTTCTCAGTGAGGGTGACAGAGCACTGGAACAGGCTGCCCAGAGAGGTTGTGGAGTCTCCTTCTCTGGAGACATTCAAAACCCGCCTGGACGCCTTCCTGTGCAACCTCATCTAGGTGTTTCTGCTCCGGCAGGGGGATTGGACTAGATGATCTTTTGAGGTCCCTTCCAATCCCTAACGTTCTGTGATTCTGTGATTCTGTGAAGTGTGCACCTGTCACCAGAGGTCCTCACAGAAACATTACAGGAACCAATGATGGTGACTATTCCTCCCTTCCCCTTTTTGTTTGTTTTGCTTGCTGCTTCTCTCTGTTCTTTCTTTCTCCTTTCTCTTGTTATCTCTTCTTGAAGAGAAGTTCTTTCTTCTCAAATTTAGCTAAAATCATAGTAGTTGATAAATCTCTTGCCAAGACTCCTGTAGATTGTAGTTGCCAATAATCTATATAAGACATATTTTAAGCTTGCCATGTCTTGAATTCTGACCCAGCTCAACTTGGTCTCTCTGCAGTAGTGGGACAAGACATTTCCATTTTGTTTTGAATTCCTGAAGCCAGCCGCTTTCTTGCATTCTGACCTAGAGATATTGCACAATTTGGTCTATCCATAGTAGCGGAATGAGACAGGGTGCACAAGAAGCTGAGAAGGGACGCAGCTGGGAGAGCTGACCCCAACTGACCAAAGGGATATCCCATATCATATGACATCATGCTCAGCAATAAAACTAGACGGAAGAAGGATGAAAGTAGGGGATGTGTGGAGTAATGGTGTTTGTCTTCCCAAGTAACCGTTACGCGTGGTGGAGCTCAGCTTACCTAGAGACAGCTGAACACCTACCTGTTGATGGGAAGTAGTGAATGAATTCCTCATTTTGTTTTGCTTCCATGCATAGCTTTTGCTTTACCTAGTAAACCATCTTTATCTCAAACAACAAGTTTTCTCACTTTCACTCTTCTGATTATCTCCTCCATCCCACTGGGGTGGAGAAGAGTGAGTAAGTGGCTGTGTGGTGCTTAGTTGCCACTGGGGTTACACCACAACAATTTTTTTAAATTCTTATTTTAATTCTGTTCTCAAAAGATGAGATGGACTATGTGCGCACTGTGCAAACCTCTGAGCAAATTTTGCACACGTATGGATGTGCTTACCAAGCGTTATACAAACTACATATTTAAATATTAAACTGCACAAGTACATACAGTTTGCTTATATAAGCCTCTGAAGCGTTTTGCAAGCAAAAGGGAAAGTATCATGAACATCTGGCCACAAGTGTGCATTCTGTTATACTCATTAGAAATATTGAAGATAATGCGCAATGCATACACATAATGCACAGGCACATGAGTAAGTATAATTTAGCTATTGCAGTAGCTCTAGTTTGGCAAGTATTTATACAGTTGCAAATGTTTTCTGAAACAAGAAGTCCTTCTCAAAAACCATTATACCATTTACAGTACTGTTCTAGTCAACACAGACACACGGGCTTTGTGTTAGTTTTGCTTACCGTCAGCATTGCACCGTACTCGCTCATATTCCTCAGTCAAGGGTCTGCCAGAATGCCAGTGACGAAGCTCATCAAATTCCTTGTATTTAAGAAGTGAAGTAACTGCAGGATCATTGCTGATATATACAAATATTAAACAGAGTAGAAAATAAAAGTGGTTTTCGGCATCTCTAATGAAACATTCAAAACATTCGAAAAACTGGGTATTTATCAAAACACCATTTTACTGTGGCAGAAAATCAACATAAGGTTTAATTCTACTTCACACATGGTGTGTCAAGACAGCCTCAATTTTTTGGAAATAATTACTACCAAACAAAGTAAATCCCTTTTTTCCACTTATTTTCATACAGATTAATCACAGAACACAATGTAACTATATAAATCACACTGGCTAAAAAATATTCATTGTGCAGCACAGAACACACTTCCACAAGTAGCAGAGCAAATGTAAAGGATGATCTCTTCTTACTTTTTTCAGTATTTTTATTTAATGTTTTTCTTTTCCTGAAATCAATATGTGCTTCACAATTTGGGATACAGCCTTTCAAATAAAAATTGTATTTAGAAAAATAGTTCCAGAATGTAGAATAAGAATCAAAGGCTAAAATGCAAACAGATAACAGTATGAGAAAAAAAGGATACATTGACTCTTATCCATTCTTGTCCTGAACCTTCTGCTAATATTTACATCAGTACATGGAAATATGAAATTTTACCCACTCATAGCAAAAGCACTTCTACATTTGTACAAATTGAGCATAATACAAATGTGAAGTTCAGTGGGGTTGAAAAAAAGCCTATATAATGTTATTTCATTAGAATAAAACTCATATATTACCTTTCTAGAACAGGTAGGTCTCTCAAAACATCTCCAGCATATTCTTCAACAAGATCAGACTTCACTGAGATTAGTCCAATGTTAGGAATTTCTTCTTCATAGACTTTACAATGTAAAAAATAATATTATTTAATTAGGAATATATATAATTGCATGTCACACTTGAAAATTCTGTCAATTTACTTTATAAATGAAATTCTATAAAGTAAAATTTGCTATAGGTAAGCAGCAGTTCACTAGTTCTCCTTTTCCTGTTTCTTTTCAAGAATGCGAAGAAGAATGAAGCAGTCACCTTTACTGCTACCAAATAGATATTCTTATAATCCATTTTAGATACCTATGCTAAATTTCTGAATGTTAAAACTCACCCCATCTCTCAGACATCTACTTTCCTGCACTGTTTCCATAAAGACTACAGTCTTATGTTAGATGACTGAAGACGACATGTAACATTGTGCATCCTTCCCACATTTGAAGTCTAACCACAGCTTCAGTCTTCAAGGTCTCCAAAGGAGATACAGAAGTAGGCAATACAAATGCTGTGCCAGAAGGTGCTTTAATATCCCACAGCAACAAAGAAACTGTATTTTTTTGCCCACTGGAGCCCACTTTGCCCACCTGACATCCTCGAAACCAGCAGATGAACACTCACAAACTTAAGTAGAATTATATTCCAGCCTTTACTGAATTTCTTACCAACTCCCTCTTCTAAAGATTTATACTATTTATACTATTTTATGGGTTTAAAACAAACATTTGAAGGTTGTAACAAAACTGGTTCTCAAGATAGGCAAAAATCTCTACCTACTCCTTTCAGACCTTCAGAAAAGGTCTTGTAAATGAAGGAAGAAAACAGTCTCTGAGCCAACTATGCACTTCCCCAATTATGGGCTACTAAACAGGATGATGGTGTCGTTTAAGACAGTAATGGGCAAGTCACGTTTCTACAACCTTCAAGAACTGTAATGTGAGCTACAGTGATGGATGGACTCTCTACCATTAGGAGAACCATTCTATATTTTACTTTTTTTGCTGCTCCCATGCCCGATACCTGCTTAATCCTCTGTCAACATGTACAAAGATGTTTTTCAGAGACAGTCTTCCTGCAGCATAATTGTTACTTTTATAAGTAATTATTATGCTTTTTACTAGTACTTGTATTACACTAATCATGTTTTTTTACAATATATATAATAAATTTGGGCTAGCAACCATGGAACTAAACTCAAATCCTACTGAAGCCAGGAACAATACTTGTGCTGTCTACTGTGGAGTCAGAATTTCACCCATAATTCCTGGTCAGACTTATTTTGGCATCAGCTGCAAGTTTTGCTAATAGGTTGAAGGGAAGGAAGAGAGGAACTATGAAGCATGGATTAGATTTGTGATCAGGATAAAATCAAATCACTACTTCTGCAACTTTCAGTAATAATAATGAAAATCATGCTTCTAACTTTCTAATTTGTGGGATTGTCAGTACCTCTAAATAATGTCTGTTCCTTTACAAGAAATAGTTGGGAGGTCTTTCTTATTGGGAAAGCATCTCCAAAACTGTATTTCACAGCCAATTTTGTTACAGTGTTCCATAAACACTGGTATTCATTCTCTATTGCTTTCCCCAACTCCTTTTTGAACTCTAATCCTGCACAGGGAAGAAAGAAAGAAATTAATGGGGGTGGGGGGGGAGGCACTTTAAAAATAAAAGTTTCCTCAAACAGAACGTACCTATTCACCTGTGCAGCATCATGACTTCACTCCTATCCAAGGTCTTTGGTCATTAGAACAAATTAGAACAGAATGTTGTACATTCACAGCTTTTAATAGCCCAGGGTATAAATAACTAAATGCACTGAGATGATGCATTTTGGAAAAAAACACCAGATTTAGATTATCTATGGAAATCTGCAAGTTCCCCAGCTAGAGTTTCTCTCACCTTCACTTCCTGCAGGGTAGAAACTTCAATCTTCTTTTTAGTGTCTAATAATAGGTATCATTATAAAAGCAAATGCTTCATATTCCAGTTGTGAATACCCAGTAACTAAGACTCAGAGCTCTTACTATCTATGCTATAGCACTCTTTGCATAAGCACACGTGGTACATTGCAGACATGACATGATAATATGTTTTGAAAGAGTACTGGTAAAAGACACTTTCACATGTGGATTTATAGATTTGGCTACAGAAAAAAGTTTCCCTATTATTCCATAAACTGTATCCATTATTATATGGGTAATTAGAAAATTGTGCTCGTTTCTGCTTGTACAAGCGGTTACATTCTCATTTTACAGCCTAATAAGGTTAGAAATGTAAAGGAAAAAACCTGTTCAACAAAGATAAATACCTTCAGTGTATTTGACCTCATAGTAATGAGCAAGATTTATGAGCAGTGAATCATCATTTAAGTCAGGCAGGTAGGTTAAATCCAATTTCCAATCATTTGTATCTCTCAGTTGTGTGAGAGCAAAATTCATACATAACTGTTGCTGTTAAAACAAAGCAAACAATTAATTCTTATGAAGTATAATTTCATGTGGAGGGATCAAAGCATCTCCAAAGCACGATTAAGGACCACAGATTCTACTGACATGAAAAACAATACACTTTTTTTTTTTGTCTGTGAGCAGGAAACTGCCTTCACTGTTCTCCTTCACTGTAACAACCAACTTTAAACAATAAAATAGCCTGCCATCAATCTTCCCATACTGGATGAGACCAGAAGGTCCACTTAGCCCAGTACCCTAACACTAACTGGAGATACCTAAGAAGAGGTCAAGTACAGAGATACTGTCCCAAACATTCTCCTAGCCCCACTGATTTGTGGCTCACAAGATTCTTCAAACAAGTAAGGTTTCTTTCAAGCAGGTACATTATGTTCTTTGATCTCATCAGGTGTCTAAAGTAGCATATAAAGGAAAATGAAAATTGAAATAACAATTGCACCTGATGACAAAGAAAGTAAGACAGTGCTACACATACCATTTTTATTAATGGTAAAACTTGCTTAGTCCAGCAGGACTTAATGATCCTCATCTGACTTCTCTGTGAAAGAGGCATATGAAGAAGAAAAGCCACTGTAAGACACTGCATTCTACAAAGGTCAGCTGCTTCTTCTGGGGATAGGGGGTTACTTCTTCCCTGTTGAGAGATGACAGATAAAAAGTTGACTACATCCTTTAGTATAAATAATTGCATTCACCTCTACGTAATTCAGTGGTTTGCACTTTATTAAAGCAGCTAAAAATTTTGATTTATTTAAACAGTTTGTGCATTGTAGTTACTTATGGATACACTTACTTCAAAATGAATATTCTTGTAGTGCTGGTAGATCCAGATAAGTTATAATGTAAAAAAAAATTATCTATTTTCTGAAAAGAATATGACTACGAAAATCAAGACAAAACTTCAAAACAATTGTCAGTGTGTCTGGCTAGAAATGTCACTATTTTAAGAGGAAAAGTTAATATCTAGATATAGCCTATGCTCTTCTCTCAGCTGAACAGCAAAATGTCAGTACAGAAATTCAGCTGTGCTAACCACTCACAGCTATCCTGTAGTTCACTGACTATGTGTCTCATAAAATATTACTGGTACATTGCATCTGTGTTAACTTGACGAAAAGTTGTACTATGGTCACAAAAATGATGTCATGACCACATCTAGAAAGAAACCTTTTTTTCTGAAGTGCCTTGCTAACTCAAAAAAAAATGTATTCTTCTGTAAAAGCTAGCATGCCACTGAACTTTAGGAAAAGAAAAATAGTGAGCACAACTACTTTCTAAGGTAAAACTCCCGCAAGGAACAGCCACTGTGGCAAGGGGGACAGTGCCACACGCAAACAGACCACATTCCTTTAGGAAAGCTGTGGCCACAGTAATGATCTGAAGCAGACCACTTGCAGAGTGCAGTCATAAAGGAAGCAGCTGGACCTCTCTTCAGTTTGGGATCTAGAGGACACCCATCTCTCCTGGTACCAAAAAGTTTATGGTCACTGTGCTGAAAAGCTATTTTAAAAGTTCTTGCTTACAGATTGCTTCGTCTTTGCTCCCATGGAAGTATTTGCATTTTTCAACATGTCACTGTATACTTTTAATCCCACGGCACAAGAAAGAACACAGACCACACGCCGAATGTCAGATCCTTCAGACCACAGTAGTTTCAGCAGATGGACAGTCTGGTGAACCTATAGTCATAACATTATGAATAGCACAAATGACCGCTATAAAAAAAATTACACAAAAAGGTCAAGTCTTATCCTTTACAGAGTTCCATCAGAGAAGAGAAAAAAAAGGATATGAAAACTACAGAAGGAAAAGTGGGCACAATCATTAGTAAAAATAGTTCTTTTTTTGTCAAGTCACTGAGGACACCAACACCCTTGAATGTCCTTGCCCAAATCCTGAGGACTAACCCCAGCTGTCCAAGGCCCCATCTTACCTGTTATGGGCCATCAAGACCTGCCCCAGCAATGCTGCAACAGTGCCAGTCTTCAGCTCCCCACAGCCCAGCAGGCTGAAAACCTGGTCTTGGCCTCAGCCCATTCCCAGCGAGGTGCCCAAATGCCTGGGGGTTTGGTTGCAGCTGCCTCCCAGTTGCCCTGCTCCTGGCTGGGGCAGTGAGACAGGCCCTGCCTACCAGGTGCTGTTCTGCCACCTCCAGGGGAGCTACCATGGCCCAGGTCCCGAGGGAGAAGATGCCTGCCCTCATTGCTTCATGAGGTTTTTCTGATCCTGGGGTATCTAACTATTGACTTCGTCTCAGGAAAGATAATCATAATAAAACAAAAGTTAGCAGTAACCAATGCAGCCATGTTTCTACAGACTTTAAAATGCTTCCTAAGTAACACCATTTTTTTCTGGCCTGAATAAAATCAGCTTGCTGGACCAGTATAATTCCCACTGAAGTCCAAGGAAGCCTTGCTGCTTTGTCTGCAAAAGCAGAAGTACAGTCACAACACTGCAGTGTAACTTAACACTTGGGAAAATGGCAGGGGAATATTAGACACTAAAGGCATAATTTATACATAAAAATATCAAACTTTTAAGGTTAAAATATTATACAACAAGATTTATGAATCCATCACTTTAATCATGCAAGCACAGACCTTGCAACTGTAATCAGTTTCTGGAACGAAAAAATAAATTGCAGATTGTGAATACTTTTATAATTAACAGAGTGTGCAAGACTTAGCAGCTGCAACAGGAGGTTTCAATTTTGCAATGTCTCTACAGACAAAGTTGCTGCTGGTAGCAGCACTGGCTCTTGCCCATCGCTGTTGAACACACCCTCCCGTGCCCTACCCTCAGGAGCTAGCTGATGCCACGGGGGTGGGGCAATGGCCACAGTGTGCCTGGAGGGTTGTAGCCACAGCCCCCAAGGCGGCTAAGGGTGGATTTATTGCACTGATGGTGTCTTCTGCTGAATAGTCTGGTTACCACCTTCTACAAGATAAAGGCAGCCACCAAGATGGATATATCCCTTATCCAGCTGAACCATCCTACTTTAGTGAGCTTTAAAGAAAGATACAGCTTCAAGCCGCTGTGAAGAAGAGTGGGCACAGATAAGACCTTCTCAGACTCAGTGTCACTTCAGGATACGGAAGAAAGTTCTCAGTTCTGGCAAGGATAAGAATTTCAGGTAAAGGAATGGAGGGAGACAGTCAACCTTAGAAGAAAAAAAGACAAAATATCAAAGAGGTCCAATTACCTCTTTTTGTATGCTTTTCAGGCTCAGCTTGAGATGTTCATACAGATACACGAATGCTTCTTTGTACCTGGCTAGATTTTCACAGGCATGTTGCAGATCTTGTTTATACTAAGAAGTGCAGAAGTCAGTGTCACATGCAAAAGTCAACAGATAAAATGCATCAGGGATTACTAGCCGCAGATAGAAACCGTACAGATACATAATGATCCTCAGCCACCAGGAAACATCTATTCTAAATAAAACTCCTTTAAAAATCATATCCCTGGCCTAAGTGCTAGTCATCTTTGGCCTCCTTATTACAAGTCAAAAGAGAGAAGTGATACTGAAGATATGGGAAAGGCTGTATCTGAGAGTATTGTATCTTAAGTGAACAAAGATGTAAAATGAGACTACAGAGGACAGAGCAGAAATTTGCCACCTATCACGATGTTTGCCTGTTAAGAATTTCAAGACCAGTAGATAAAAGATGTATACAATAAGCCATGTATCAGTGCATTATAATTTCAATATGTAAAATATAATACTCATAATCAGATACTTTAATAAAATCTGTTAAGTAGAACTAGCAGTACTATTGCAAATCAGCAACAAAGTTGTGTAACTTACCTTTTGAAAAAATAATCTGTGTTTATACACACTCTGAACATGATATCCGTAAACTCTAAGAATATCATACTCCTGTCCTGAAGCAAGCACAACATTGATTTTCTTTGACAATGAGTGAGCAATTAAGATAGATAAATAGTCTGTTTGGAGAGAGGTCAGTCCTATGTCAGATACGATGATGAAGTAAGGATAGCTTTTCTTCAGGAAAATCTCCCATTCAGATGATAAACAATTGGAAAATTCTGTATGAACAGTGGTGCCTGTGTTATGCCTCAGGTGTTCTATTACTGCAGTACGTAAGAAAAGAAAATGAGGATATGGAAAGTACATCTGTTCTGCCTCCTGTGGGAAATAAAAACAATGAAATCATTCAGTTATATTTGTTGACGCAATGAAGTTTTCTAATCCTGAGTAGAATCAAGCAGATGGTTTTGAAGGAGTGCAGTGGTTTAATCAGGAAACAAATGTTACTTGTTCAGTACCTTGAAAAAAACAATGACGTATTTTGCTCCTTTTTCAGTGAAATCTTGCAGGAAGCATTCAATTTGGTAGAAGAAGTTTAGATACTGTGTTTTCTCATCTAAAAACATAAGTAGCAAGGAATCCCCATCTATCACAAAGAATTCAGACTCAACAAAGTCTTTTAACAGACTGACATACCTGAAAGAAAAGGAAATGGCATGTACATAACATTACTCCTAGAAAAGTTGGGTACATGGAACCAAAGAGATTTGCTTACTAATAGATCTTTAAATAAATGGTTTTGTTAATTAAATCAACTAAACATTAAATGTATAAATTAAATCAACAATCAATCTTTCTTGGATCTAGGGTTAGTTCTAAATATCTTGCAGTCCTTTCAGTTATTGAATATATTAGCAACTGTCTCCATTACAACTCCAAATACTATTGTAGCATCTGAGGCTTCTGCGATTTATGTGGCACCTCTTATCCATGTCTGCTAGTGGAGAAAGTGTTAATCTGTTCTATAAGAAATATCCCACAGAAGATATCCACAAAATATATTTTGAGAGCCTTCCTGCCTGAGTTTCCAGCTAAAAATAGCAAGTCAACAACTATCATGACAATGACAACTACCTCCCACATCCAAGGATTGTCTATAGCAAGAAATATACCTTAACAGCAAGAGGAATCCAACCACAATACATTCTTCCAAGAGACCAAAGAATTAAAAGACTTCTTCATCCCCTTCCCATTTCAGAAAACTATGAAAGTTGATACAATATGCATTAATCAGTCTTAGGTCAAACTTGACACAAATCCTCTTCACTGAAGATGGCAAGTGGCAGCACCTCAGTAGTTTTTAATATATCCTAAGAATTGACTGCATTGTCCAGATCTTTAAAACTCATGAAAGTCCAGGGACTCATGTTTCACCCAGGACAAGCCAAGGAGTCAGAAGAACTTCTGGAGCTCCATATGAAGAAGAGGCAAGCTCTTCTAGAAAAGGTTTTCTGCTTTCATGTTTGTCTTATTACATACTACACCGTCTATGACATATTACGATACTAATGCATACGCTGAGAACATCCATACTCTAACAGTAACAACATGCTTTTTTTCTTCAAGGCTGTCAAAAATGCCTGATACACATCAACTTAGATCCACTCCTGGGAAGATTCAGTTTTCCTTTCTGGCTGGGATCAACAGTCTCTGGTATACAGGCTCAGTTTGTTATGCAATGAGTAGACTTCACGAACAAAAATTACATAAGCTTTTTGCACTACTATGTAAATGTCTTACATGTTTAAATTGTTTGCATTTAATTAATACTAATCTCTTTGGCATGTCAGCTCCAGAATACAGAAAACACACTTCACTGTCAATGTGAATGGCAGTATTGATAATCTTTCCATATCAAGCAGGGAATCAGAACGTGAAGATGCAGAACATCATGAATGAGAACTGACGTTCACAAACACAGGAGGTATCTATGAAAGGAAAAATTTTGTAGGAACACTGTTTTAAATGCTGTAAAAGTAATCACCTTAAAACATGTGAGGAAACATGCTCAAAAAAAGTATGACAGAGAATTTGAAAAAGAATACCAGTAGTTAAAATCTTAGATCAGTTCCTAAAATGTGCAGATTGTCCCTACTCTTAGGGCAAACTTTCTATTATATTAAGAACCTTCCTTCATGTGGCTGGAGGAAGTATGAAACTCTAAGTATGCCTTAGGTCTCCTGGTTTTTCACAAACCTAGGTTATGAGCACATAGCTTCTTTCTCTAATGGGTACTACACTGTGATGTCTACTTAGTTCAAAGAAACTATTTTTATTAACATTTATGACATTTATTTCCATGAACTCCACTGTACTTACTGAGCTCTTGATAGGGATGCCCAAATGTGTAGCCTCAACTTCTCCAGAAATTCAAGAAGTTTTCTTATTTCTAAAATAACCACATACATGGTTATTGATAGAACGATATAACCATAACTCATCAATTGATTAAGACACTGCAATAAAAGCTACAGACATGAGCATAAGCGAGTTTCAGCTCCTCACCAGGGCCTTTGGGATCACATTTGTGCTGGTGAATTCTGAAATCCTTGTCTTCAGGTTGTGATGCCGGATGTGTCACTTCCTCAGTTGAGATACTGTAAGCGTTACTGTAATCTGCGTCTTCATCTTCTTTTTCTCTGTCTTCTTCTTTTTTAAGCATACGCATAACGGCTGCTTCTGCTTTGTCACAGGTCTCATCCTCCTCACCGCTATCACTTGTACTCCCATTCTCTTCATATTCCTTTGTTGGAATGAAGCCTATTTTCTCACTGTCACTATGCTCACTATCATTATCATCATTACTAGCATTCTCATTTGCACTATTACGAAAGACTTTCTTCAAATTACCTTCTGCAGAATCCATCACAGATCTTGATTCTGGCATGCAAAAAAAAGAATATTCTAAGTAATTAAGAAATAATTTTCAGGAAATATGGTATGCTCTCTGACTTCAACCATTAAATTATCTACTTTATAATCACACTGTAATACAACTTTAAGAAAAATGAGAAATCATTTTGTGAACATCCCTGTGAGACATATTTTCATTTTAAAATCAATACATATTTTGTGAACTATAAGGAATATATCAGCTTTTGTCTTTCTTAAAGGAGCATTGCATTTGTTTTGCGCTTTGCATGAAGGGACACTTGGGGAGGTTAGTCATATTTTGCTATATGAGTCATATCGACATGGCACACTCCAAGGAATGATCCATGTTTCCTGATTCAAGTGACTTCTAGCCATCCTGTTCATGCTAGCCCAGTCACAAGCAGGCATGCCACAAGATCTTCTTTGCATTATGGAGCTAATCATGGTTTGGTATCAATTCCACTTTTTAATTCAGTTTTAGCTTTTTCCTTCTATTTTTTTTCAAGGGTAGAATTTTCAAATCTTGAGTGAGCATTCAACTGTAATAGTTAGGGTAACTCCCCATTTTATGAGATCACAATGTTCAGTTTCTTCGAGCTAAAGAACAAACAAGCAGCTTGGGATAACCTTGCACAGTCTCCACCCCACTAGCTCAGTTCTTCTGAGCTTCAATTTTCTTTAGTTTCACAGAATCACAGAATCACAGAATCACAGAATCACAGAATGTTAGGGATTGGAAGGGACCTCAAAAGATCATCTAGTCCAATCCCCCTGCCGGAGCAGGAACACCTAGATGAGGTTACACAGGAAGGCGTCCAGGCAGGTTTTGAATGTCTCCAGAGAAGGAGACATTCAGGTAACAGACATGCAGTATGTAATGTTGCAATATTTGCCACTGCAATATTCACATGCCTTAGACATGGTTATCCTTCATCTTCCTGAGACCATAAAAGGACTATTTCATCTTCAGAATGAAAAGAAAGCAAAACTGTATCTGTCCATTCTCATGTATGGACTGCTATGTTTCTTTTTTCTTTTTTCTTTTTTTTTTTTTTTAAGGCTTAAATACTTTGCTACACTGGTGCTTTTCTGCAGAGCACACACTTACATCTGAGATGCCCGGGGCTACAGTGTGGGCATAGGCAACCAGGTGGCTTTGACACCTTGCCAGCACTCCTGTTGCCCCTCCACCCTGGAGGGTGCTCCCTTGCTGCCTGCAAAGTCCCAGGCGCTCCCCTGTATGCTATCCAGCTTCCAGCCCTAAACCAACCGCAACCCTAATGCAAACCCCAACCCCAGCTCCAGCACCATGCCTAAACCAAACCATAGCCCCTGCAGACCTAAACCCAATCCTAGCCCTAACCCCAATCCCAGTCTCAGCTTTAAACCCTATACAGTAGCCAACCCTAAGCACGGCTTCTCCCAGAGCCCTGGCCCGGACAGTACCTGTCACCGCTGCCCGCTCTGCCTCCCGGCCCAGCCTGGCTCCGTCACCACCCTCCTTTAAGGCGCCCCCGCGCTCGGCCCACCCCCGCCGACGCCCCGCTTTCGATTTCTGTTCCCGGCCGTCAGTTTCAGGTTTCGTTTCCGCGGTGCCGGGCAGGACTGCGGCCTTTGAACAAAGCACTGCAAAGCATCACCGGTACTTCCTTGCTGCCATTGCATTCTGCTTTTCAGCCGTAGCGGCTTCAGAGCCAGTCCTCCTGCATTACTTAAGAATATTTTTAATGCTGATTGCATACACAGAGCAAAAAATATTACTTACTATTACCGTTCCCATATTCACCACAATCTGTTCTCGCACCAGCCTGCTTTCTTAAAGTAGGGTATTCCATATAAAAATAAACTTTAGCATTTCCAGCAAATCCTATAGTGGGAATCGTACTAAACCTCTATCACTTCACTTAAAATAGTGAAGCCTCCATTTCGCAAGGGAATGTGAGTACCCAAGTACATTGAAACAACATTTAGAAAACCAGAGTTTACATATCAGATTGTCTTCGTGAGAAGTGAAAAACCCAGCTCCTCTTTAGATCAGATACCTGTGCAGAACACAGCACAGAAAACTGCTGGGGTTACAGATGTAAGCAGTCTCCTCATGGATCCAGGCAAGTTTTCAACAGCCACCCTGGTGGATAGCTGACACATAACACCTGCCATGTAAGCAAATCAGAGGTCTTCTCCACATTCTCCATTTCCTTTGAGACGTGTACAAAGATTTCAGAAACTCAGGAGAACAGTATCTTTTAGAGTACAGTAACACACCCACAGTGCTCCAGCATATCAGAATTGTTTTGTTTGACTAGCCTCTGCTCCCTCCTCTCAGCACACTTTTTCTTTGTTAGGTAACAATCTGGGAAATTACTTGAACTCTTTATTTCCTTTCCTCAAATTAAATGAAAGATGATCTTTAGTCCAATGCTTCAACAGATTTTAAGAGGACTTTTAGTTAGGTCCTGAAGATGGACCTTTAGATTGAATTCTCCATCCATTTGAAGGATGCATTTTGGTTCAGAAAAGTGTATTTTAGGTCTGCTATTCACCTGACTAAAAGGCAGATCAGACACCTTCATAAGGAAGCCATCTCCATGAAAACATATTTAAGAAATGTTAAAAACACCACTCAAGCAGGGCGGGAAACACTAATGCAAACACCAAGGTCAGGTCCTCCCACAGAGGACTCTATGCTGGAGCAGGTAGGTAGGCCCTGAAAGACCCACAGGCTGTGGAATGCCTGCACTGGAGAAGGGTTATCCTAAAGGACAGCAGCCCATGGAATGGATTCACACTGGAGAAGGGGTAAAGTGTCAAGAAAAACTGTTATGTTTTGATTAACTTCCCCAACTCTCATCACCCCTGGTCAGGGAATGGGGAGGAACAGAGAGGTCAAGAATGAAGGAATGAATTGATCTGAGAAAGGGGAGAGTGGGAGAGTGGGGGGAAGGTGATGTTTAAAATTTTGAATTTTGTTTCCCACTACCAAAATCTATTTTAATTTGGAATAAATTAAATTACTTTTCCCCGAATCAAATCTGTTTTGCCTGTGATGTTAACTGGTAAGCAGTCTCCCTGCTTCAGTGTTGACCCAGAAGCTTTTCCATCCTATTTTCTCCCTGCTCCTATTGAGGGAGGGGAGTGAGAGAAGAGCTGGGTGAGCATCTGGCAGTTGGTCAAGGTCAATCCACCACACTCTTTTAGATCTCTCTACGTAATGCATGAGGCAAAGAGGAAAAGAGTAGAGGTAGATGCATGAGATGAGGATCTACGGCAGCCATTCTTTCAAGCATGAATCAGAGTGCCTAAAATCATTAGGCATTCAGCAGTAACCATCTAGTATAGAAAAACAGCTGCAGAAATTTTAATTTGAGACATCTTACAAAGGCGAAATTCAAATTGTAACCACCCAGCAATGATAATTGAAGACCAAGGAATGACGTGGTCCTGGCAGGAGGAAGGCCAGAACCAAGTTAAACAATAGAAACAGTAATACCAGAGATGGAATGACCCTATAGAATGGAGAATAAATTCACTTGTTGATAAAATAAGAAATGCTACAGTATTTATTAGTAATTATATGACTGGTGCTGCCACAAGTGTGTATAAGGAATCGGCTCATGCCACATCTTTGCAGACTCCCTGTAGAATCACTTACAGCAGCAGGACTCTGTCCAATGCGTTGTTCATTAAATCACTTCATGCTTAAGCACAGATGTGTCTTTAATTCACTTCAAGTAGTACAATAAAAATTCCCCAACACTTACTTGAAGCTGTCAGGAGCCACCTATCTTAACTTAAGCTAAGCTCTCTCCTTTAAAAGAAATGCATAAATTCAAATTTTGCATAAGTTGTGCCTCAACTGGTTTTAGAATCTAGCCCTAAGTTCAATACAGATAGTGGGAAGACTAGTACACATCTGAATGGGATAAATTTTTGACCCAAAGGTTGAACTAAATATATGAATATTTTATTTTTTTTCCTTAACTTACTGTACCAACATAAAGTACAGAATGTAGTGGTAAGAAATCTGGTAATGTTTTGATTACTTTTCAAACAGTAGTAAAGTCTAAAGGCCATACCATAAGGAACCCTTTGCTTGATGGTGTAACACGAGCCATAGAATTTTCACCACATTTATCAGAGGTCACTTTTAAGAAACACTGGAAAATGAATGGAAAAGTTTAACTGTGCACGTGCTTTTGCATAGTTGAAAAATTATTTCCTTAGTGTTAAGATAGAGTTATTATGAATAAGCTAAAGGTTTAAATTAGGAACTATTCAGAGTTACCCAAACATTTTTATTAGTGTTTTTATTATGCATTTTCTCATTGAACTTTCTAAACAGTGAAACTCCACTCATGTTCATCTTGTCAGTTTTTCCTGAAATTAATCAGCATAGTGGGGTCTCCAGTATGAAAATATTTCAGCTCCATTTCTTAAGATCAGCTAGGTTTTGATACATTTCTATGCAGTTTCTAGGAATAAGGAAGGAGTCTCTCCAGACTCTAGGGATCTGCATCTGCTCATAATGATTTACCCATTCATGTGAGAATAAATATTTACCCTTGTAATCTAGACTTTGCTTCTAGCCTATTTCCTCGGCCAGCATGAGCCAGCTGCAAAATTTATGCAACACAATATACAAGGCAGAAAAATTTAAATTAGCTTTGGCATTAGACATGTGCATTTTGAGTCTTAATGAAAGTTCACCAAGATTTGAGCTAAATTCTATCCATAGGTAAAATATAATTGTACCAATTCAGTAGAGATTACTTGTAACAGTCTACTGAACTACACTACATCAAGTGCACAGACTAAACCACACTGAACACCTTGCTTTTTCCTTCCGTCTCATGATTATCACAGAAGAAAACTGTCAAAGGGATGCAAACATGGGAAAAGCAGCAAAATGCTCATTGGTGCCCTGGGTGGGGGAACACAACAAGCAAACACATTTTTTCTCAACCACGGTAAGAGAACAGGGGCACTGCAAGC